AATGCGGACAATCAATACGATCCCAAAGACATCATATTTCGGGCATCGAATGCAAGTGACAACCAATGGGTCGTCATTTACAACAAGAAACGACTCAAAAACTAGTGACTAATGAAACCAAATGCAGAGAATTGATTGGTAAAAATCAAACAGTCATCGAAGCCATCGACCCATCGATTGTTGAGAGTATCGATGGTATCGTTGAGAAGACATCGGGAAACATAACCAACGGATACTATGTATTGATCAGACGAAACGGACGTCCAGTCATTTGCGACAAATCTATGTTTGACCCGAAGAATAGGGTAATAGTTGTTAACAATTATTGTATAAAAATTGTTAATATAATTATAACTTGAGTGCAAAGAAGAGACAAACATAAAGGAGAAGAAGACTTCACCGAAAGACACAAAATAGAAGAGAAATAAGATCTCAAAAATTGAATGTTTTTTATTTATTATATTTTCTATTCCTATATATTCTATACATTTTGACACCATTTATGAATTTTATTGTTTTATTGAGAAATTATATATCTTTTATTTATTAATTATTGACAATATTTGTGTACTTTTGGAAATTTACTTGGATTTTTTAATGCAATATAAATATCCCATATATTTTTGTTATTTTTATAATTATAAACCATAAAAATTATTATAATTCCGAATGGAATAAATTAAAAAATTCTTGTGCCTAACTCTATAAACCAAATTTTATGCATCGGGCTCTAGTGCCCAGAGATGTAGAAATTTTAGATATAAATCATAGACCAATTTTATCAATAATTCATATAAAAACCATTTTTTCATTTATACTAATAATACATTATTTAAAACTCGCGTTATATTTATTGTTAAAATCAATTACAGAATTATGTTTTATTTTTAAACAGTTATTACAATTTCTGCCAACAGTTCTTCACTTCATTTATGCAAAAAATGATAGCAATTATTGTATTAATTGTGTCTTTAAATGCCATTCACTGCCAAAATGAGAAACTATTTTGTGATTTAATAAAAACTAATGGCAGATATGAAGTCATACAAGTGTTCAGATCTAGTGTTAAGAATGAATACGTTATGTATAACAATGGAAATTAATGGCTGTTTGTGTTTAGAGGAAAAGGTATTGAAATGGATTTCAAAGGAATGGTTCTTTCGTATGATAAAAGCATTATCAATAGATTTAGTGAAAAAGGTTATGATTGTGACGTAAAATATCAGGTTATTATACATTGAATTCAATTTGATTAAAACATTTATAAATTATTATATGTACATTAAATTGATTTGAAAGTTGGCAAACAATAGCCGGATTGAGACCAACTGTTTTGATGCCATTACTAATATCACTAACAAGACCTCTCAATACGATCCCAAAGACATAATATTTCGGGCATCGAATGCAAGTGACAACCAATGGGTCGGAATTTACAGGAAGAAATCGCGAAACATATCGTGTTATTCACCGCAAGTGAAAAAACTAGTGACTTATGAAACCAAATGCAGAGAATTGATTGATAGAAATCAAACTGTTATCGAAGCCATCGACGAATTGTTGAGAGTATTGATGGTATCGTTGAGAAGCAGTCGAGAGATGTAATCGACGGATACTATATATTGTTCAGACGAGACGGACAGCCAGTCTTTTGTGACAAATCTATGTTCGACCCGAAGAATAGGGTTGAATAGAAGTTATTAGCAAATTATTGTATAAAAACTATTATTTTTTTAACATTTTTAGTGCAATTTGGAGAAAGACATCATTGATATACTGCCGGACAGTTCCCCACCTCCGGGTCCAACACAGACCCCATTCTATTAGTTGACAATTAGTATTGTATTGATTGTGATTACCATAACTGCTATGACTGTCTGTCTGGACATTGGCATCGGTTTTGCAATTTACAAATTTGATACAGAATTATGTAAGCATTTAACATTTATAATTTCTATAATAATTAACAAAATATAAACAAATTTTGTATGAAATCAATCATTATTTCTAAAACACGGGATTCAGTCTCTAAAAAGGCGTCGTCTCGTATCCGTATCGACGGCACAGTCTGACAGTGTATGTGTCCGCCCGAGGATGTGTCGTGTATAGCAATACAATAATTGATTTTTATTGTCATATTTTTTAATTTCTAATTAAAAAACTACATAAAACTTACTATTTATTGTATTTAGTTTGTATTTTAATAGATTGACAACTAGTCTACTACCCGTCGTGTACCATTATATTTTGTGCAATTACATAACACGGTTCCTCAAACCTATTTTTGAATGAATAATTATTGATTATTTGTCACATTTTTAAACATATACTTTGTATTTGTGTGAAAACGATTTTTGTAACAATAGTTATATGAATGCATACATTAACTTAATCTTCAGTGATTTGGTTATATTGTTTTAGATTAATTGAATATACAATTGAATTAAAACTCGCATCATTTTAATTGTTAGAATTTAATACAAATTATACTCCATTTTCCAACAGTTATTACAATCTTTACCATCAGTTCTTCATTTTTGCACAGAAAATGATTTCAATTCTTGTATTTATTGTGTCTTTAAATGCCATTCACTGCCAAATTACTGACGATTTGTGTGATTTAATGAAAACTAATGGCAGCTATGAAGGCATAGGAGTGTTCAGATCTAGTATTCAAAAAGCAAATCTGATGTACAATAATGGCTATGAATGGGAGATTGTCATTGAGACAAATCGTATTAAGAAGTTTCATGGAAATTCTTTCATTGGTTATGGAATTATCAACAGGTTTAGTGCCAACGGTTACGACTGTGAAGTCAGATATCAGGTTATTATAAAGATTAGATTATAATTTATTGAAACATTAAAAACATTTACATTGAATTAAATTGATTTTAAAGAAACCAAACGACACCCGAATTGTGACCAACTGTACGATTGGGACGACTGCTATCTCTGAGACTGAATCTCAATTCGACGCCAAAGCCATTATATATCGGGCGTCGAAATATATTAGCAACAATTGGGTCGTTATTTACCGCAAAAACGACTCTAAGATATCGTGTTATTCGCCGAAAGAGATCCCAAAGTTAAGGTTAAGGACGAGTGAAAGTGAATGCAAACATTTGGCTAATTATTCACAAATTATATTTGAATCAATCGATCCGTCGATTGTCAAGACTATCAATGGTATCGTTGAAGATGTGTTTGGAGAGTCTATAACCGGACACTACATCTTCTTCAAACGAGACGGACGGCCATTCTTTTGCATCAAACCTATAGACGACACAACGATTACAGTATTTTATTATCAAATAATGTATTTAAAGACTAATTTAACCATATTTGTAGTGCAAAGAAAAGAAAGACATCGTTCCTATACTTCCCGATTGCTTCCCTCCTCCGTCTCCACCGCCGACCCCTTTGTACAAACGCTGGTATTTTATTTTATTAATTGTCTGCGCTCTCGTTATCATAGCTGTTGTCATCTATTATGTGAGGAAAACATATTGGTCCCATTCATGTAAAAACATCAAACATTTGATAATTTCTATAATAATTAACAAATTTTGAATGAAATAACCCATTATTTATAAAAATAGGGGACAAGTTATCTAATAAGTCGTCGAGTCTCGTATCCGTGTCGACGGCAAAGCCCAGCAGTATGTGTCGTGTATTTGATGTTTAAATCCATGTTTTGGCCACAAATATATCACATTTTATACATTCATTTACTTACAGGCGAAGGGACCGATTCAAGGCGTGCCTCGCAGTCATCCGCACAGTCTTCACAAACACCACTACAACAAACCACTCCTAACAGACAACTGAGTGAATCCACAGATAGAGATACTTCTCAGACATCAAAGACAATCGGTATGTTTAGTGATTGACATCAATATTACAAATAATTAATTGTTTTCTATTCTAAGAAACAACGACTCCATTGCGAGAGAGAGGTGGGGAAAAAGGTGTGTGTTTAGTGTTTAAAATGAATATTTTAATCAATTATTTTTTACAATAATTCATTCATTCATTTCTAGGCCTGGAATTGCTTACATGGAAGCGAACACCAAACGTGAGTCCATTGGCTGTACCGCCGGTCCCAACAGTCGCCACAACCAGTGGTAAGCAATCGCCGCCACAACAGAGAGTCCCCAGTCCTGCGATACCGGCGACAAACCGTGTGTTTAGTTTTTGATATAATTATTGCAAACAATTTATTAATTTGTTTATCAATATTGCACTCATTTACAGCTTCGGAGCCGAGAGAAAGGGGTGGTTCTGAGTCACCGCCGCCCGCCATACGAGCCCTTGTTGAGGAATTGGTGACCAAAGTGGCCGACGAAACCCATGGATCAAGAAAATCGCCAAAAGGTATGCGTTTAGTGTTTGACAGCAATATTATAATCAATTCATTGTTTTGTTATTATATGTAAAGATCCAAAGACTGAGAGTCCCGACAGAAAGTGACCGAAGAAATCATCGAAAGGGTAGAAACAGAAGAGAAAAATATCTCAAAAATTGATTATTTTCATATTATTATATTTTTCTATTTTATTTTTCTATACATTTTGTCACAATTTATAAATTTCATAGTTTTATTTTAAAATTATACACATTTTATTTAATTGAATTATTTTCTATAATTTTATGCACAATAGACAACATTTATACAACTATTGATGTTTATTGTTATTTATTTTTTAATTAATTTTCTAATACATATCTGTAAGAAAAACATTAAATTTATTATAAAATATGGTTAAATAAAATAAACACATTCTCTTATATAAGAGACACTTCTTATGACACTTCTTAAAAATTAATCTTTTCTTATTGAACAGAATTTAATACTTACTTAATATTTACTCCATAGACGTGTTGGTAAAATAAAACTCATCGTAGGTTTGTATTAATACTGATATATACATGAAATGGTTTGTGTTAATTATATTAATTGGCATGGTAAGTGACCATAAATTATATTAATCAACAAGTGTTCACTTGATTCACAATTTTATTTAATATAATTATAATAATCAGATATTTTACACATTCATTATTATATTAAATATCATAAGTTTTGAGGTGTTATGTTATACAGTATATGGACTGGAATTTCAATCATCATCTCTATTTCTGGTCAACATTTCCACTAATTTTGTGACCGATTTACCGATAAATTGGGCAAAATTACCAGGGCCACCATTTTCCCAATTACCATCTACATTATAATTACGATATACATTATTCAATCATGTTAATTACAATAAAACTCAATATAATGCAAACCTTTAAAGAAATCGCGAATAAAGTCCATCCAACCCCTGAACACATTGCGAGGGCCGCCAGAGCCCGGGCCGTCACCGCCCCGACCGCCAAAGCCTGGGAAACCTCTCCCACCGAAACCGGGGAAACGTCTGCCACCGGGAGATCCACTGTCCGGAGTCACAAATTCTACTTCTCCATCATCTGATTGATAGTTATTGGGAACCGATCGACCTTTAGTTAAATAAAAAATTTTATTACTGTATTAACATTTTTAATAATATTAATTTATAGGAATTACAAATGCATACCATAGGCAACACAACCAATCCATGCGATTATCACTAAACATATCAACAATTTTAGCGTTAAATTCATTTTTGCACAATTTGTTTAATTTTTTAATTTTTAAATGTAACTAATATTTAGTTTAAAATACAATGAAAGGAATTTTTGAAACGAAAGTATTTATATGATATGTGCGGTGAAAGTGCACTATAAGTCCAATCAATTGTAGTGTACTTTATTGACAAACAAAAATAATTTCTTAGAAATTAAATATTTATTTGATTTTAAAGGGAAATTTGATTTCATTATAATGAAACTAATTTTATGAAGGTTAGTTGAGTTAATCGTTTGATTGTGTTTGAAAGACAAATTATTAATTAAAAACGTGTTGCGTGTCATTTGAATAAAATGTACAACAAACATATTCAACCAATAAATTCATAAATGATTTATTAGTTTTCATTTTTTAATAGTTATTTTATTTAACATTTTATACATATGATAAAGTCATTTTAGTATTTTTACCATAGAGATCTTCATAATATGAAGTAGATATATTATATAGTAGATCTTAAATGTTTTTTGTGTACTGTCTAATGATTAGACTCTAATCCATTATCCAAACCATATTATTCATTTATATGCATGTACATTTATATGTATGTAAATCTATTGTATTATCTGTAAATATATAATCTAAAAAAGTAATTGCCCTATCACTACATACTATACAGTAGGAATGTGCACAGGAGAACTTTGAAAATCTTTTATTGGGCAAACCTATATAATTTTACATGAGCACATTCTTACAACATTTATACAGTATTTTTAAAACACATACAAGTATTACATCGACTTTAATGAACATATCTCTATTGAACCTATCCCGTAATGCCTTCTACCATACATACTATCTCTACTCTCAATTGTACAGCGAATACTATCGGGATAGGTTCAATAGAGATAGGTTCATTAAAGTCGATGTTAGTAAATAAATTTTCAAACAATTTATTTATACCCAGTAAATGTAACATTTATGTAAATATCACAAATAAAATACAGCACAAAATCAATGTTTTCATTTATTTATAATAATCACATTATTATAAGACCGGTGGAGCTATAAATTAACACTCAATTCATTTTACTTAACCATGTTTATTTATTAATTAAAGAATTTTATTACAAAATATCAAATAGGTTAACAACTTTAATTCAAAATATAATAATACAATATTTAATACATTCTTATTCTATTAGTAACTTATAACTGACTCGAGTCTTGAGGTGTTATTGTCTATCGCTTTGAGAACCAGTTGTCATCTCTGGTCAACATTTCTATTAATTTCGAGACTTGATTACCGATAAATCGGCCGAAGTTTGCCGGACCGCCATTTTCCCAATTACCATCTTGGTTATAATGACAACATAACAAGTTAATATAATTTAATAATTATACAATTAATGTAAATATAGTACAAACCTTTAAAAAAGCCTTGAACAAATTTCATCCAATCCTTAAACACATTTCTGGGTCCCCCATAACCGGGCCCTCCATATCCGGGTTCGCCTTCAGTACCGGGGGATCCCGTCACAAACTCTACCTCTCCGTCACCCGATTGGTACTTATCGGGAACCGATCGGCCTTTAAGTGCATTAATTTTAGTAGTTTTTATAATTAATGATTACTATTAATTGCTAGTATTTTATTATAAATACATACCGTAAGCAACACAACTAATCCATGCGATTATCACTAAACAGACTAACAATTTAAACGTTAAATTCATGTTTTAAAATATTTATTTTAAAACTTTTGAAAAGTTGTTTAGTAATAATCAATTGACACTAAAATTGAGTCAAAATACAAATGAAGTGAAATTTAAAATGAAAGTACATTTATATGTGTTTCTTGAGTGAAGAGTGCGGACAATATTAGTACAAAACAATTGTGTTATATTTCATTAAGAAATGAAAATCATTTCAAACATTACATTGAATTCAAAAAAAACTTTAATTCTTTGTTATACTGTAAAAAAGTAATTTAATTAATGATTGTATTTGTATTTGAAGTTTGAAAAACAAATTCAAATCCAATTGCGTGTGTCTTTCGTATGAAAAACTAATTGACTTTTTTAAAAATAATCAAACAATAACTTCATAAACGATTTATTACTTATTAATTTGAATTTCTTAAAAATTGTTTCAAAAATTGTAATTATTGTGTGATTTTAATGTATTTTACTTATTTAATTATTATATAAAAACTGAAGTGAAAATTGTATAAATGCATAGTAAATGTAGTGATAAAAATGCCATTGTTTTTGATACAGAATTACATTAAACATTATATCAATTAATGTATGAAAATTTATTATCAATTATAATACTAGTCTACATGTACTGTGCATTTAAATACTCTTTGGTATAATTCATGTAAAAATTATGCAAACAATTAAAAAATACTTAAAATAACATGTTTTAAAAAACACTTCACAGATGTTTATTGGCTTTGCCATACATGGGATTTTCATGATTGGTTCGCGCTGGCTTAAATAATGGATTCATCTCGGTGTCAGACTTTGCCTACAAAATACAAAATACACAGATTATTAACCATATTGTACATCAACAGTATATTAAACATGACTACAGGTAAAAAACAAGTCAATACAAACCATAGCATTTCTGGTGTTGGAGGCCTCGGCCTCAAACTTTTCCCACTCTAACTTGTCTTTATACCATATAATAAGCCGTCCGATCAATAGCAGTATCAATCCGATCACAAATATAGATCCGGCCACCGATCCGACCACTATTGTCGTATTGACCGCCGCCGCGCACTCCCTCTCCTCCCGTACCCTAACATACAGTTTGTTATCCGTGTATTCGTAGTTAAAACTGACGGCACAGTCCTCTCTGTCAAAGTAGACACACCGGCGGTCGCCCTCTCGGCTCTCTGACAAATAATAATAATTATGTAATCATTTATATATAATATAATTGTGTGAAATATTAGTGAAAAAAATTTCAGTAAAATATTAGTTTATTTGAATATTTTTGCATTTACTTTATGCTTTTAATGAATGTAAATGTATGTATAAAAGATATTTTAGAAAGTTTCTAGTAGACATTAATTAGTAGTCAATATATTCAATGGTCAAAACCATTGTAACAAAAATAGTATTAACATTTTAATAATGATAAATTAACTTCAAATTCATAGTAAGGCTGTCAATAAATATAAATAATCATGTGATGACAATAGAGACAATGGATAGTGAAATGCGTAAACATATTCATACAAATTCATTATAAAGTATGTGATTATAACAAACCTAATGACGGGTCGATTTGGTAGTCAAACGTGCATTTGTCACGACATTCAACGGGCGAGTAATTACCGGATTTAAATACTTTGCACTCAACACAGGGCTGTAATTCGTTGCACCG